AAAATTATATAATGTAAGTCTATGGGAAAACAAGACTCAACTTAGGGACACTCTCAATGCACCAATTATGTCTGCATCTCAGGGTCTCACTTATAATATAACTATTGAGTGTTTTACAGAAATAACCTTCCACGCAATTAAACTCTAAAAACAAATGCAAATAATTGAACACTAACATGTCTTGTCTTATTCAACACTTCCTTCTACTAAATTTAAAAACGAACGCAAAAATCTTCTCATTAAAAAACTACGGAACTCCAGGAATTTTGTACTGAATTTTCCACATGAAAATACAGTAAATTCAACCAAATTTTTTTTTCAGTTCGTTTTAAGTTAACAGTATACAGAAATGCACAATAATTCGTGACGTCGTCTGATAGAAATCAGCGCGCAGAAAAAAAAAATTGACGCTATTATTCAGCTGGCCACACGACCAGGCAATTTTCTGCTCGTTCCCAAAATGCGATTGCTTATCATCATCACCAGCAGCAACAACAACAGCCAAAAAAAAAAGCGGAAACGGAAATATTTCCGCATTGTCCGACAACAGAAATTACGCTCATGTCCTTCGATCCGGATTTTTTTTGAATTCGCAACATTTTTTAGAGCTAGGGATATTCTGGAATCCCTGCTTGTTTGCAACGAAAAATTCTTTACTCAAGTATATTTATGGCACATTCGAATGCGTTTCCAGGGTTATTTTCATTCGTAATTGAGCAAGAGAAGGATATATGAACTAACCTCCTCTAACGCTGTACCACTTGGCGCCATTTGTAATCCCGTCATTCTTCTGGAACTCTTTGTCATCCTCATCACAGCCAGGGAAGGAATCGTCGGCCATCTTGGGATGATGTCTCGAATACGCCAAAGCCAAGGCTCTAACAAATAAAGAACAAAACCAGGCGTACAGTATATATTTTTTGAACATGTAGAAAACTCAGATGCCATGAGTTTTATAGAAAACACATGACAATTTTTGAAAAAAAAAGTCATTCAAATGCAGTTGTTTATTTATATCGAGATTATTCCATCCGTTCCATCAATCACAAAATGATTCACAATTCAAAGCAAATTCCTCGAGAACAAATTTTCCCTTAAAATTTTCCACACTTTCGAGGTTATAGAAATTAGCATTCAATAGTTTGTTGCAAGAAACTGAATTGTCGAGTTTGGCCTGAGAACCTTTTAATTGGGGATATCGAAAAAAGAAAATGAATCATTGCCAAAAAAAGAACGCAAACAGGCATGAGATTGAACGCTTTCTGAATTATAGAAAATTTGCAATATCACATGGCAATTATGAAAGAAATATACCTTATTTCATCAGCTTATTTCTCCTGCCAGATCAATTTATATTTTTTGACTCAAATTCAGTTCTAATGTTCAACATTATTATGCTACAAATTCGTGAAATACAGTGAGACCCCCAGATGCAGATGTAATTGGTGCATCAAGAGTGTCACAAAGTCAAAATGTCCTTAAGTTGAGTCTCCCTTTCCCTTAGACTTACATTACATAATTTTAAATTGATTCTTCATGGGAGAAATATTGATCAGAATTCCATGAAAAAAATCTAAAAAATTATCAGCCAATTGAAACTGATTCAATGAAAATCTTTAAACTAAATGGGGACATTTGGATCATCAATAACTGTGCCTCTGTATAGTATATTGAAATGTTGGCATTCTCTATCAAAAATAAAATTCAAGTCAAAGGTATGGAGAAGGAAATCCCTCTATGCTACTGGAGGTAATTTTTTATATTAGCTAAATGGATAGTAAGATGATTAGAGAAAAGTCAAAGAACTTTTCTTACATGGATTTTAGGGTTGGAAATATCCGTTTCTTGTAATTTGGCCTGAAATGCAATTTTAGCAAACAATGTCCCTATGTTGAGCCAGTGTCCATGGCATGTTGGTCCTCTTTTATGAATTTTTTTTATAGGAAAATACGTGTCTCTAGGTTGAATTGTTGAATCTGCTTGTGGGTGTCTCACTTTAAATTCATCAAATGAATATTTCATCTTGAAAATTGAGACCAGAGTTTTTCTCTTCTTCCATTAAAAAAATTCCTCAAGCATCTGAATTCCATTCGGGAACTCATTTTTCTCTAAAATTTTAAGGAAACTTCGAGTTGATGGAAAAGTGCATTTAATAATTCCTTCTAAAAGACAGAATTGTCAAGCTTGGCCTGAGAATCTTTCAAGTATATATATATAGGGAGGGGGGAGAAGAAAGGAGATAAATCATTGCTTGTCGAAGGCCGACGTGATTCATGGCGTGTCTTTTTGTGGCACTGACGACACGCGAGATGACAGAACACAGTTTACTTCTTTATTTCCAGGCTTTTGGTTGGTCAAAGATTGTTATTTTTTAAACACATTTCCGTCCTGGAGAAGAGAGGAAAGAATTCTTGCCTGCTTGCCGATGTTAACCTTTAGCCGGACAAGCTGAGAAAAATTTCTTGGCTTTTTCGTGTTCAAGTTTGACCTGATATTCTGGGGTTTACAATTTCTTTTTTTTTGTTATTTTACCTCAGGAATTTTCTACTGGGATTTGTCAGAATAATATACAGTAGTTCGATTGCTATTCAGGGCATGAATAAGTTTTCTGGACTCAATACTGAGGAAGAATGACTTCTTTTCCCACTGTTTTTTGGATAATACCTGACTTTTTGAATATAAGAACAGTATTTTTTTCGGTAGCAGATTCCGCTGTTTCTGGAGAGAATCGTGAAACATTTTCGACCGTTATTTTCTTCAAGACTTGATCTTTCGACAAATATTTCCGGACTCGTTTCATGGCCAAATCATATTATTTCAGAATTCAATAGCATCTGAAAAAGCTGGAAAAAATTCCCTTGTGCAATCAATTTATTTACAATCAAATGAAGTCTTGTATAAATTTTATTTACAAAAATTGAACATTATCCCTGCTTATACGAGAAAGCATGTATCTTTTCTAAAGCCTATTTCTTCTGACTTCCAGTGATGTCCTCTCAAATACGGTACTCATTAAAAACCGCTGAAAATGAAAAATTGTAACAATAATTAAATGCTGTAACATATTTACATTTACATTTCAGAAAGATCATGCAACATCAAAACGATTACCATGATTCTGTGTTTGATTTGGATTTTTGTGATTCACATTATTCCTTGGCAAGAAATTTGCCATACTTTTTAAAAATGTGTGGCAAGAGGACTCAGATGTACAGAAAACTTGTAAATCTCATGAATGCAGTTGAAGTACAGAAATGCTTGGTTTTTCTCTCCCACCCACAAAAGCGTTTTGAGTAAAAATGATACAAACCCAACTAAGAGCTTTTTATGCTTCATTCAGCTTAGCTGTCATGGGATTAAGATGGGAATTTTTTCAGAAAAAATAGGATTTGACTCAGCAAAAATACTTCTGAACTTTGGCAAATCAGCACAGGGTGCCTTCCAGTGAACTTCAGTCAAACAAAAATGTGCCTACATAAAATACTGTTTTTACTCAAGTAACGTGCACACCTTTTTTTGCAAAATTGAGAGAGGTCAAAAGCTTGGGGTACACATCATAGAGGGGTGTACAGTCAACCCCTGCACAACAGACCTCCAGTGCAACACATATTTGCACAATAGACTACCTCTAAAGGAAGTTTTCCCTCTGTGCAATGGACTAAGTCTGCCTAGCAGACTTCTGTTGGTTTAAAATTAATGGTAAAAAGTTTAAAAAATTCAATTTTAAATAATTACATTTGCATAACAGACTTTTCACACAACAGACTAATCCTTTGCACAAATTCAGTCAATTGTGAGGAGGTTGACAGTAAATTTTTTGAATGTTCTGAAGTTTAGGTGTGAATCAGGTTTGATTTTAATGAAAAATGTTTGGAGAATTGCAATTCATTATTTTTACAGTTATGTAAAAATGATCGAATTTTGGTTGAAAAAGCGATAAAAAAATTTTTTAAACCAAATTTAGGTGCAAGTCATTAAAAATTGAGTGTGTGTCTTATTACTCAGGGATATAATTTTATTTAAAAATTGATTCAAAACCTGTTTTGGAGGGCAAGAGCTATTTGAGTGAATATATAGTAAAACCCTGTCTACCTTTTTTAAGCATCCTTTCTTTTTTCAAGAGTAAAGTACTGTATATTGACAAAATAACTAACCTGAAGGTGTCATCATCAGGAGTGGAAGTGTACTCCTTGGGTCTCCCAGACCGGCTTTTGTCAAATGGATAATTTGCCACCAGAGCCCCATTGTGAAGGTTGGCTGACAGGACAAATGGGTGCATGGACATCATCTGGATCACTGCTCTGGTCTCAGGCTGAACCTGCACCTCCAAATCAGAAACAAATAACAAAATAAAAGATGAAAAAAGCCATGCAAATTATTCAATTTTTTGTGCCTCCAATCTTTCTCAAGTCAGTCAGATCCATATTTCAATGAAGGCAAGACTGGATGTGAGTTTTTCTTCTTCAACATACAATATAATTACCCAACCATTTGCCACAGGGTTTCACCATAAAGAATAAATATAAACTCCATCACTGTAAATCCTTGGTCCTCAAATTCTTGGATGTTATCCAGCATCATCCCTTGAAAAGACTATCAAACATAAAACAGTTCTCATCATAATATTCATTCAACAGTTTAATTGGAACCTTCATATGACTGTAAACTGAATTTGTCTGACCAGAATGCTCAGGTGATAAATAATCAATTCTTTAACAAAAAAGTAGAATGACTCCACCCCAAGTTCCATCACTTGAGATCCCCAACAACACAAAACTCCTGTACACACACACAGATACTGCTTTTGAGCTTGTTTTCCATCAAGTGACTAGAAACACACAAAAAGTCCCACATTGCAAAAACAAAACAAAAATGCTCTCAAGTTGTATACAAAGTTTGCACATCAGGACCATATTCTGGAGGGACTGAATAGTAGCCATAATCCAAAAGAAAAGGACTTTGTTCTTGAAGCTGTTGCTGGGAAAGATCCTGCTGAGGTTGTACATAATATCCTTCATGGAGGTCAGCAGCATTAGCAGGTACAGTCATCATCCTGTTGTCATCCATGCTGTACAAGTGCACACTGTCTGTCTCTGTCCACTGGTACCCATACTCCTCATGAGGAGGGTGTTGCTGATGAACCCCATACTCTGGTTGCAGGACTGTACAAGACATCTCTAATATGGGTTGCTGTGGTGGTTGCAGTTGCTGCTGTGGCTGTTGCCAACAGTAATCTTCAGGGGGATGAATGTATTCTCCAAGATATGCAGAAGAAGAAAGTGAATCTTGTTCAGTTACAGTGTATGGATTGGATGCAAAGAACTCTGCCACTGCATGAGGGGGTGTGGTTATGGGAGCCATAACTGGGTTTTGCACTGGTGATTGGTGCAAGGGTTGCTGTTCATGGGCTGATTCCATTTTTTCCAATTTGATGTTTCCATTTCCTGAGAACATGAGTGGGGAAGTGGTGGTGGATGAGGATGATGATGGAGATGTAGATGTTGCTGGAGCTGGTCTACCTCTTCTCAGTGAGGTTGTACTCCCACTAAGTGACCTGAAATTGGAATTGAGAAGTTTTACAGTTGACACAAGGAAAAAAAAGGTGCAGAGACTTCATCAATCTGAAAAACATATCTATCAACCTTTCTCTACATGCAGGGCATTTCATGTCAATTGATGTTACAATATTCAAACTTCCACAGACCCTAAAATAACCATTGAATGATCAGAAAGCTGGAAAAATCAGGTATTGCAGAAATTAGGTACAGTATTATTATTTCTCAGATTGACCCATTTTTCAGGGCAGAGCATAATTTTGCTTTAACAAATCTGCATGACAATAATTATATTTGTGTTCAATATTGGGGGATGGGTGGGTGTATGCATACGTGTAGGATGTCCAGTTTTATTTTGTGGAGTGTGTTCTCTTTTATTTTTGTCATTGGTTTGTGCTTTGTTTCATGCTTTGAAGTGATTGAATGTCTTTGGGGGGAGTTGGGTTCAGTGGGGAGAGGGTTTGGCTGCAGGAGTCTTGGTTGTGCCTTGTGAATGCTGAAAAGCGGCAAATAAAGTGTTCTGTTCATTCTTTCACAATAATTTCCATTACAATATTTTTCAAATATATTTTCAGGTCCCAGTGGTTTCGTTGTTACAAAATTATGCTCGACCATTTTGAAGGATGAGAAACTATGTTTCAAGTGGGTAAAATAAAAAAGTTTTCTAATCATTCCCAGCATGAACAAATGTATTCCTGTAAATAGACTCTTCTTAGAAGACACATTTAAGCACATATTACACTGAGCAGTAAATATTGTTCTTTATATTACCCTAAAATTAAACATTTGCATATTCTGATGCCTTGGAAATTTAAAATTTGTGTTGTATGAACAATAAGTCCAACCAATTTCAGATGCATCATTCATTTTTCATTGAGAGACCTGAAAAACCATTGTCATTAAAATTACATATCAATAGTGTGCCAATCTTTTAAATGACCCTGTTGGGACACATGTGAGGTCAAATGATGAAGTGAGGCTTTGAGTAATGAACATAATCCATTCTGGTTGCGAATTTGTTGCCCAAGGCATGCTTTTCTATAGGAGACTCGGAAGATGTTAATGTTTTCTGGCATGGATGAATAATTAGGGTAAAATTAAAGACAAACACATAAAAATATAATCAAAAGCGAACTATACTGTACCAAAACAGTCACAGAGGATGAACTTCACAGTCTCTTGTGATTTCAAATCCCTCTTCGCCTTTGAAAAACTTTAATTTTCAGAAGTTTCTTCTTTTAAATTTGCAAAAATATTTTTTCATTTATTTCTTGACCTTATAGGTTTGTCGCGGATGAAAATTTTTCTGCTCAATCAAGAAAAAATGGTGAGAAATTGGCGTTTTTTCTGCATGAATTTTAGTTTGATCTGTACCAAGCAAGTAATTAATTCGCAATGGCTTCTCTGTGTTGTGAAGATCCAATTTATAAACATTTCCAATATATTGGAAACTGGAATGTGGCACAAAGGTTCTCCAGATTCTTATCACAAAAGAAAAAATTAGGTTCAGAAAGTAAGAATATCTCAAGACCTGTCAGTCAGATCAATTTTTATTTCATGCAAGACAAGTTGGACAACATCTTCAGCTTCAATTTAAAACCTTGCAGAATTTTTTGAATCCAAAATTAGCAGGTGAGTAATGCACTTTGAAATGTTACTTGATATAAGTTATGCCATCTAAAAAGCATGTTTTCTTTGCTGATTCTATTTCTTTTGGAAGCAAGTTTTTATTCAGGTTAACCTCAATAAGTTGAACCTCCCTTAGTCAAATTCCTCCCTAAGTCAAATTGTTTTCAAGTCCCTGTCTGAATTCCCTTAGGATCAAAAGATTAAAAATGTCCCTAACTTGAAGTCTTTTTCTCAAAAACCTCTGTAAGTCAAATTTTCTGAGGCCTTCTGGTTATTATTTCCTTGAAATATGAATGAGAAAATGATTAAAACAAATGACTTGATGAATTTTGAATAAAGGAAGTGAAAGACAAATGTCGCAAATGAACCCTTGCCTCCAAATTCATCAAGGTGTAAACGCATTATAAGGAGCAAGTTCAGGCCTAGAATATCCTCATTTATGATTTCCCACACTTTTTTCAATTCTCCTCACAATAAAAGTGTTGTTTCCTCAACTGAAAAGTTCCAAAAATCAAAAGCTTCCTAAGTAAAATTGTTTCCCTGGTCCCTAGAAATTTGACTTACAGAGGTTCAACTGTTGTACCACAATGCAAGATTTCATTGGTTGATTGCTGTCTTTATGAAACCTGTGATGAGACAATAAAAAGTCATCTTTTGGCATCCAAGGAATGAGGATGCTCCAGCTTCCCCTATTTTTAGCAGTCATAAATGCAAATTTGCTCTTTGAATTAAAATCTCTTGGAGGCTGGGTATATAACTGCCTCAGCACTCAGATGTCTCTTGAATCTGGATTGCCTCTTTTTTTTTTACAGCTTAAAGCCTTAAACTCTGTAACGATTCATCTGTTTGATCAATTGCAAGAAATTGAGTCTTCGATAAAGCGTCAATCAAAACTCAGATGTCCATGACTGTACCTTGTTCCATAGCACCTGCGGACCTCTGCCGTGGCCTTGGGCTCGGGCCTCGGGTGATCATGCACCCCTTTGGCCTGGAAAAACACCCCGTGGTCCGTGTGCCTCCAGAAATGGGTCACGGGGTACCCGCAATGGCCCCGACACGGCAACACGTCCAACCTGCCGCCGCACCCGGGTGTCGGGCACGGCTTCCCACGCTGCTTCCTCCGGGCCTTGTCGCAAATGGCGGGTCGCAAATGCACGTCGCATCGTTTGGCGCACACCAACACCCCGAGGCAGCTCTTTTTGAGAATGTGCACGTTGTGGTTGTTGGTGTTGCGCATGGCCCAGCCGGATGCGTGGCGGCGGGCGGCGTCGGAATCCGGCGGATACGCGAGGCGGCAGTGGCCGTCGGGCCATTCGCACCACGTGTCGAACCGCGTGATGGGCGGGATGTTGGTGTCGTTGATGTCCCAATCGTGGGGTTGGTGCAGTTGAGGTTGAGGCTGTTGTTGTTGGTGGTGGTGGTGGTGATGCTGTGGTGGTGGTGGTGGTTCAGCGTGGTGGTGGTGGTGGTGTTGAGGGGCCGGGTTGGTGTCCGCCGGGTTCCACGTGCGGCACATGCCGTCCGCTGGGATCATCCGATATCACCACGTCTCAACTCACTCACTCACTCACTCACTCTTGCACTCACTCACTAACTTTGGATTTCAGCAGTGAGAAGACTTGCATTTGACTCGTCCCCCCTCCGTAATAACACAACTTTTCCAGAAGGTCATAACAAAAACAAAACGAAAACAAGGATGAATGACAATTTCCATTTTTTTTTTAAATACAACATTTCCTTCTAAACCATGATTAAATGCGTTTAAATGTCATTGAGTGGATTTGGGTTGGGTTGGGTGGGAAGGGGGTTTGGTTGTGGAAATCTGGATTGAACCTTGTGAATGCTGAAAAGCGGCAAATAAAGTGTTCTGTTCATTCATTCATTCTAAACCATATGCACATCTTCTTTTTTAAATGAAAAAGTTGCAAGGAAATATGTGCGCGTTTCATATATATGCTGGTATAAATATTTCTTTGCAAAACTTGTTCTTGTGCAGCACGCTCATAGCCATGCTTGTCAACTAGAAAAACATTCAGACTGATTTTTAAAATGAAATTATTTCAACGTTTGCAGAAGCAAAAAAGGTTAATTCAGCATTTTAAATGAAGTTGAATTAAATTGGGTTTTTTTCTCTTTTTGAATATCAAATCCTGCATAAATTTGGGAATAAAAGAAAGGTACCTGATGCTGTACCAATATACAGGTGGTACCTTGCAATTTGAAGTTCTGCAATTTGATGGTCAAATTTGCAGGGAAGTCAGCTTGCAATTTGACTGGCGGAGAGACTCAAAATGTCAAATTTGAAGTAGGAAACATTTAATATGACATTGCCTAGCGATTCAACCACTTTGCAATTCAACCCTCACCTGGAAGATTAGGGTCATATTTTGGGGTACCACCTGTACACTGGTGCTTTAGAGATGGATACAATTTTTTTTACCATTAAAATGATGGAGCACCAGGATGTGTGTCTTTTGCAAGGCTAGATTTTTTGTAATTATTTTGTACATAAATGAAAAACATTTCTGCTTGCTGTCTTAGATCACAATTCTCTCTGAAAAGTTCATGAAACTAGAGAAAAAACAGTAATACAATTTTACAGTTATTTCCTAGCTGAAAACTCCCCATAATTTGAACTTCCAGTGGATTCTTAGCCAATCTTAACTGATTTCAGTGATGGTTATGCCAACAAAAAATAAGGAAAAAATATTTCTCTGCAAAGTTGTGTACACAAACCGAAAAATTTCCCATTTCACGCAGAATATTGTTGATTTTGTTGTAAATGATAAGTTGATAAAATATATTAATTAGATCTCTTCCCTTAAGAATGCCCATCATCGCAGGTACAATTTTTGTAGACACTAGACAATACATTCTTTCAAGCTTTCGACTAACTGCAGAACTATGAAATTGATTCAGATAACTCTGTTAGAAACTCAAACCATTTTGTACCTGAGTGAGGCACAAATAATTAAAAACTGAACATCAGGTTTATTAGGTGGGATTGTTCATCATTCTAATAGAAGCAATATGAACAAATCTCACTAAGCCCGAACACATTCATGATCCACATTTGAATCCATTGCAATTAAAGATTCATCTAATTTCAAAATCATCTTTCGAAGACTGAAATGTAGAAGTGAAATTGAAAATGATACACGAAAAACTCAAACTAAATATCAGTCACTTGGCATTTTGGCAATAAAACATAGTTACCAGCTTTCATCACTCAATTTTTTTCGTTTTCGATCAACAATTCTCGAAATAAGGGATTCTCCAAAAACTAACTCCCGAAAGATAATTGCATGCATCAAAAAAAGCAATACGAAAATAAATCAGGGAATCTTCATCTCAAAACAAATCCATATAGACAATTTTCGGAATATCGTCCATCAACTTTTCACCATATCGTCGCACGGAAATCAGTCACCATCACGCGAGGTTCAAAACTGTTCCATTTACGCAGTACCTCAACTCTTCTCTGAATAATACAGCAACTAAATACGGCATATTATGACTCATTTAAAATAAAAAAAGATGAAACAACTCGTGTATAAAGAAAAAAAATCATCCGTTTACGGACAAAATCTCCGAGTTATTGCCGCGATGGAATCTGTCTGGCGACTGACACGCCACAACCGCGTCACGGCACCTCGAACAGAAAAAACGAGCAATTTGAAAAGACACAAAAGATATAGAAAGCCAACACAAAAAAAAAGGTTCATCCCCCTTCTATACAGCATCAGAAGAGGGAATGCATTTATGAAAAAGAGGGAGGAGTTGGAGAAAAACGTTAACGCGTGAGAGAGAGAGACTGAAGATGAGAAAACGGATGGGGAGGTGGTTTACGCTATTTTTTGCGCCGGCGCGGTTTTAAACGCAGAATAAGGAAGCTTAACCGCGCAGGCGGAGCTTCGTGGGAGGTTCCACATGCGTTTGAAACTCCACCCACACGGCATACTCACGCCCCGCCCACTTATACCATCACACGCCTCCTACTCCTGATCCGCGCGAGTACTTTTCCCTCACAATCGACCTTGTCATTGGAGAGGGGGTGGTAATGACTGCTCAGTGGGCGGGCCACTACACGGGGGGCACTTAGCAGCAAGGGGTCCGCGTTTTCGGGGGGATCTGAGTTTGTTTTCAAATTATAAAAACGATGTTATGGATTATCCATCACAATAAATAGGTCTCTTCCAGAATTTCTTGCGCTTACAATGCTGTTTGATATTCGACCAAATGCCGCCGATTTGAGAAAAATTGGCACGACTTGCTTTCTGAAAAAAAAGGTCTGAATAAGATCAGGAATGTATGCAAGAATAAAACTCAAAGTTTTTGCAATGCTCAATAAAAATTAAAAAAAAATATTGTAATAATTCAAGATGAGGACCAGCAGCTGTTCCTTATTTCGGAGTGTCCCAGCAGCTACGCGCTGTAAAGGGGATCCCTGTGTATTAAAGACAACATCCTTGGAAGGGTGTCTTGGTATAAACTTTGATTCATGTTTCCAGAGGAACATGCTCAAGACAAGCATAAGCGCTAAGGTGCCAGAAAGCTAAGCGCAGCTGCCTCTTTGTTGGTGTAGCAGGTGATGTGATTTTCTTTGGGCAGAACAACTCTGTGAAAATGACGTTGTCTTTCAAGCCAACATTTAAAGTGTTGTTATCCTTATTGGGAGAAATCGATAAAAGACTCTGTCGCGACTCTAGAAGAACGTCTTCTTCTGGATGCAATAAATCTCAGTCAATTTTGATTCCCAAGAATAAACTTTCAACGAGAAGATTATTGTTCCTGTAAACCCGAGTTTCGAAGTGAATAAAGTCTTCTCGTTATAAAGACGGATACGTATATTTCTTTAGTACATCAACCAACGCCAGACCGACAATGAATACCGAAAATACGCTTCGCGGACCTTAAATAGATTCGAAATGAACCAGACATACATGTTGCAATTCAGTCTGGACACGAGAACGGGGACGGGGAATGACCGCGAACCAGACACTGTAAAAGTACGCGGCGTGACCTCATCAGATTCGGATCTGAGTTGCTAGGCAAGAAAGTATTGTCAGCGTTCCGGAACGTCATAGTGCGGGAGGCAAAAGAACCAGTATTCTTAACCTGTTGCAGGACACTCATAATATTTTGGTGACAAACTCACCCCAGACAAATTTGAGAAAAGTTCCACTCTTTTCAAAAGTCAAGAAAAATGTTTCCAAAAACAAAGTCAGACTGCCAAGTGAACTCAGAAAAAAAATCGATGTATGGTTATGACATGCCTGGGCATCGATTCCCATATGACACATCACAATTCAGCATGTTTCCTGCTAAGGGAGATATTTTTGCCTCTCACATGTTTTGTGGGGCACCCTGTATGCAAGAATTCTCACAGATGCTGAGAGTTCATCCAGGACTCAGGGAACTGGAATGTGGCAAAAGTCACACACTGGAATGGAAACAAGTTCCTCAAAACTTGGTTTTATGCTTCCTGAGACATGATTGAGGACAAATTGTCTCATTTCAGTCTCACTTTTGGAAGGAGTAACATCTCCAGGTGAGAACCTTTTGAAAGTTCCTTTTTGAGTGTTTCTTTTTCTGAGATTGTCTGTCACTATTCGTCGAGTGATTTTAACAGGGTTTAACCGATTTTCAGGTGATTTGAGCTCCAAAAAAAAAAGGAATCGTCGCCGTCGTACGAGACGACGCTGCGGAAAAGATCGACGCGGGCGGCGGATTTTCATCAATTTCGCCTTCAAATCAACCAAAAGGTCAGGAAAATCCCTCACAAGTGCTAGGCATCCGCAAAAAGTCAACTTGGGCAGGTTTTCGGATGACAATGGGAATTTTCAACATTCTGACAGTGACATCTACAATTTTCATGGTAAGTTCTCAAAACAATGTTTCATGAACAAAAACTTCAGTTTTTCCATTGGATGTTTTTCAGGTGGTGTGTTTCCATCCAGTCCAATCCTGTGAAGAAGTGGGTGGCAAGTTGATGTGCCTTGATGTTTGCAATGTCAAGAAGCCTGGACAGTATGATTTCACAGTGGATTTCCAAGGCAACAGACTGGATCTCTCTTGTGTGGCCTACAAAGGTCTCAAGGTTGGTTCAGTTCCTTTTCTTTTTCCTTTCTGAAACACAAAAGTGCAGTATAACCAGTATGTAATATATTTTTCAGAAAGTGAAGCTGTTCAAGAGGACATTTTGCAGAGGAAAACCAAATGGCATGGAGGAGATTGTGGAACCCTGGGACTACTGCTTCTTCAAATATGAGAGTGAGTATTCCCTTTTTTGAATTTCTTTTTGAATTTTCAAGAATAGTTTAACAGCTGTATTGGATTTTTTCAGGAAAAACAACAGAAAAAGTGATCTTGGATGAGGTGTCTGACAAGGAAGCCATTCAAGAGAATGTCTTGGAGAAAGAAGAAAGGACAACTCAGCCTTCATCAAGCTCCACCAAGGAGGCTGAAGTCAAAACAAGTTCTTCTCCTCCTGTTTCCTCCACAAGGTCAATGCCATCAGCTGTGTCTTCAACTTCTCCCATGCCAGTACCTCAGCCAACCTTGGCATCATGGTTTCCGACAAGCGTGACTCCCAGTATCGGGGTCACTGGCACGCCGTTTCCAAGTGTCAGCGTGCCATTGCCAACACCCTTGCCGACTTCTTCTGTTTCGGCTACAGTAACAACAGTGACTTCCTCCTTGGTTACGGCACCAGTAGTTCCTGTTACACCCTTAACACCACCCCAATCCACGGAACTTGATAATTTTTCCAAAGTGATGAGTGACTTGGGGAATCTTTCCAAGTTAAACATTTCTGCGGAATTTGTTGATGGCACCGTAGTTCATGCGGCGGTTCCTAGTTGGGTGGTACAAGCCTTAATCTGGGTTGGAGGTGTAGTGGGAATTACTTCACCTATCGCACTTTGCGTGTTCTGCTGTTGTCAACACTTTAAAATCAAGGTGTGTTGATTAGTACTCACGTTCATTGGTTTTCGGTTCTAAAACGGTTCTGGGTTGTTTTTTGGCTTGCTTTTCTTTTGCATTAAAAGAAGAATGAGGAGTCAAATGTGGTTAAAAGTTCAAAAACTAAGAAAAGGGAGACTCGGTCGTTTCCAAATCCTTCTTTCGAGGAGGAAATAGAAATGGCTGAGTTGCCTTCTTTAGCCACTATTCGGCCCTTAATATCTTCCTTTCGTAAGTTGCATGCCTCACTGCTTTTTGCTTCTTGGCTTCATATTCTCTGTTCCCAGGTCCGTCCAGAACAATTGAGTGCAGCGGAAGTCTGTGCGCGTCTGGGTTGGCCACTCCTTCGTGCCTGGATGCTGAGGAGACAGAATTTTAGGGCTTCTCCTCCAGGGGTTGTTCCTCCAGGGCCAACTCAAGATAATGTTAGCCTAGACAGTTTTCATACTGTGGCTATTGTATAGTGCGCGCGTATTATGTTGTACTTTCGATGCGCGATAGAGATTGTTGTAGTTAGGGGGACCATAATAAAATGTTGTCCTCCAATCCCTTGTTTTTCACTCTTTGTTTTTGTTTGTCCACAGCTCGTCGTCTTCAGCATCATCGTCAGCATCGTTCTTTTTTCTGCAGGTGTAAACCTTCCTTCTGGTCAAGCAAATAAACATCATTAGCTGAAAAATAAAGAGTAAACCCATAATGTTTATACTTAAGACAGATTCTAGCAGAAATGAACAATACAACATACATATCTTAAACAAGACCTTCAAGATTTTGAAGAATAGCAAAACAATTGGCTATTGAAGGTGGTTGATGCTCATTTGATTGCCATTAGACCAGTGGTGGCATTTATTTGCAACCTGGGATACTGAGGGACAGACGGCGCATTTCTAGAAGGGACCAATTCAATATTTGTACCTTCTAGCAAATTCATATTCCTCCTGCGTCTTCTAAGAATTACATATCGGATTTTTGCAAAACACAGATAAGATATACTCAACAAAATGATAGACATTAAAACTACAGACACGATCAGATATATGTAGCCATAATCTCGAAAATGTAACTGTAGGTCACTAATGTCTTCGGCTACAGAACTTCTGGGCTTAAATGCAGGAATCTCTTCTACTGCATTAATTTCAACATTTTCAAGCTTAGGTAAAATATCTTGAAATGGTCCATTGACCAAGGTATATCTGCAGTTCTGGTTAAATTTAATGATTCCGGAATATGG